GTCACAGGAGGGTTTTCAGAGAGCCACAGGATGGAAAAAATCAAGAGGCTCTTCATGCTGCAAACAGGGAATCCCCTTTGTGTCCTGCTCGATTGGAAAGAACCGTTAATATGTGTGAAGTATGAAGAAAAAAAATACCGCAGCTGTTTACTGATCATGACTCAACATTATACAGCCTTTTGTACAGTGAAGTGATAACGGCTGCTACATGGCCACAAACTCAGCAGAGGATGTGAAGGCTCCAGCTTAGCATCTGTCATTTCTGTTGCCATAACATGCACATAACATGGTGGTTTCCCCAGTTCAGTTAGGCTGTTTTTCATAAGAGGTTGCAGCTGTATTATTTCAAGGGAGTTATCAATGTCTTGTGGTTCTTCAGATATCAGGTAAAAGAGGAAAGAGAGAGGAAAAGTGAAGCTCAAGTGGATGATGATGATTAAACCAGGCTGGAACATCTCAACTGGTAGGAGTGTGCTTGTCCTATTTTTGAGGATCCTGAAACGCCACCACTCGCTATCTCTCCCATGACCTTTTATTTATAAGAGAGACAGTCAAACTGTGACCACTTTCTTACCCTCAAGGCCAAGACCAGAAGAGCAGAAAACACATGCAGTTGAAAACCTTCTATTCTGTCAGGGGGAGGGGAGAAAGCTTGGTTGTGTGTTAGTATCTAGTCGTACCCACAGGGATTTTACACAGGGGAAATAACATCATGAAAACTTGATGCAGTTTGATGCATGTGAGACAGTTTTGCTTCCTTCTGTGCACATCTTTGTGTTTGTACTAGTTTGTTAAGCATTAACCAATGGGAAGGTTGTCATGCCTTTCACCCCACGGTCAGCTAACGTGACGACCCCCCCCCTCCTTATTTCTGCATCGTACCTCATCTTTTTCTGTCTTTGACATACAGCTGACTTTCACACACAAGTACACTCTCTGTATGAGTCATTCGTATCTACTTTCATTTCATGGAGGCATGGCCTGTACTTATAAAAATGTATCTCCGTGTTGTATATAGCCAAGTATCATGTTATATTTCTTTCCATATGACACTCTAAGCTACTATAATCTTATATTGCTTGAGCAGCATATACACGATACCCATGTTCTTGTGTCCAGTTTGCACTGTTTAATCCACTGTCATGTCATAGCTGTTGTAGGGGATTAGATGTGTACAGAATGTTACCTGTTCTTAAAAATGATTCAGATAATTTGTTGACTGATATGATAGGTGATTTGTTGTTTGCAAAGAGAAGGTTTAAGTTATAGAGTTGTATGAAAAACCTACAAAAATGAACCAGTCACATAAAATACATAATCAGGAAGCAAAGCTCTTTGCTGCTTGTTATCCCCTCTCCCTCCCTCGTCTATGCTGTCTGTCTATTCTGTTGCTGTCAAATAAAGCAGAAATGCCACACGCACAAAAAATATAGGAGAAGGAAAATACACATTCTGTGTTCAGAATTTAAAGGTTTGACTATATTACAGAGTTTATTGGAATTTAGAGTATAAAAACTGAAAAAGTAGTGACAAAATGCTAGTTCCCAGATCGCAAGGTGAAACGTGAAAGGTCTTGAAACTGCTTGTTTCGGCCAGTGAGCAGTTTAAGGGCGGGTTCACACCCATGGTTCACATTTAAAGGTCTGTGTCCTGAATCACACCAAAGGATGATGCATTGTTCAAATTTTCCACCTGTAAACAAAAGCCATGTGGTGGAAATATTGATTGATTGTTGGTCATAAGTCACCAAGTAAAAAGACAACAACAAACTTTCTACCTTATCTTAGATCATGGAGCAGTGTCAGGTTGATGTTGGTGTTGGTCTGGAGCGTATATCATATCGCATATATTTAGAGGGTCACACACATGAAAGCCTCGTAAGACAGCGGGTATTAAATAATTTAATAATTCAGGCATTTCGAGGAAGAAACTCTGCATCGTACAGTCTTATCATAGATCATACCACAACATCTTTGCATTTGTTATACAAAGTGAACCAGTGAAACAGGGAACAAAAAAAGTTTGCTTCTGGTTGAATCCATATGTATCTCCTTGAATGTGTTAATTAATGCATATATAACCCTACCTGCTACATACATAAAAAAAAGTTAAATATATCAAAAGGTGCCAACCTTTCATTAAGAAAAATATTACATATTATAACCATTAGCCTATTATTATTATTGTATATAGTATGTATTTGTTGTATTTTATTAAAGTGCTTTCCGTTGTTGATCGTACTTTTTGTATTCTCTATATTCATATTGAAAATCAAGATCAAGCGCGCATTTGCCTTTATGTTCAAAGGGAGGTTTCTGTTCTCCCTAAGCTCACCTTAGTACTGTCTTTCTTTGTATTTCCTCTTAATGTGTTTATTGTTTGTGCCAAACACCAAAGCAACTTTGTAATAAAATGTATTTTTAAAAATATGAAATGTTAAAAAAGACAACAATAATGCAATAAATAGTACAGTAATAATAAATAAGTGCTATTTTTAAATGACACATACAATGGCAGCTTCCTGTGATTGGTTTGAATGGTGTTCGAACCGCTCCAGAGTTCCCTTGACAGCCGTCTGAGACCACCCCTTCAAGGCAAACTAGAGTGCGGTTGTTTGGTCCGCACCACAGTTCGAGTCCGGCGCTCACACCAGCCCAAACAAACCAGTCCAGGGTCCGATTTAATCGGAATAAACAAGGTCTGTGGTAACCCACCATAAAACCTAAATAAACATTTTTAGCGTTTTTAAAAAAACAAAAAAAGCAGCAAATCCACTTAAAAATGAAAGCTTTGCCCATAAGCCCCAAACCTTGAAATCATTTACTAATTTTCTGGTGAAGTTTTTTGGTGTAGCTTGTTGACAGCTGTGTTGAACTAAATTCTTGGCTGCTTCCCACCTCCTACTTAATAGCCTACCTCACCCCTATGTGAAGGCTGAGCAGTGTTCGTCAGGCTCAGGGACCAAACCTATCTCTTCACGTGTATTGATATTCCATTGACCTGAAGGACACGCACGGAGCTGCAGATTACCTCACCAGTAACACTAGCTGCGTTGTGCTGAATTTTGCATGGTCACATTGACCTGGTTACTGCTTCATTATTTATGGAAATGGAAGGAAAGCAGTAAAATGAACACACACACACATGCATGCATAACTGAAACTGAGGCCATGGGAGATTTAAAGAAGCAATCAAGTTGGAGAGACAGTGTGGTCGATGCTGTTGGCTTCACTGCTTGAAACATAAGAGCCATGTGACTAACTTGCTAGTGTGTTTGTGCCTTTATGTGCATGCGTGAACTCAATCAGTCCTCAGGGCAAAAAAGGGTGTGGGAGTAGGCCAGCACGGGAGACATAACACCCGGACCATTAGTGAACCGGCTCACATAACCCAAGTACTGGGGGCTGACAGACATGCGTAAACACATGGCACCGCTTCTCCGTATTCACCGCAGCTTCAGTATTCAACACCTCTCCTCCCCCCCTCCACCCACCCCGGCCTCTTCTTTCAGCCGCTACACTTGGGCGGCTCACAAATATTTGCCATGGTACTCTGCAAGCCCTCAGAGGGCAGGATTAATGGTGGTGTTTGCCGCACACCCAGGGCCAGACAAAGCCTCCCCATCTGGAGCTCTAACCCGTGACTGGGGAACAGAGGCAGCACACAGAGCCTAGTCAAGGCAGCCCAGGGAGTGGGGATCTATAGGCATCACTTCTTAAATGAGCAGGAGTCCTAGGCAGTCCTGCAGATGAATGAAGGGGGCGTTTCTGTCTTTTGATGTGATGGGGAGGAAAAGGGTCCTGCATGCCGGCCTGGGCCTGGTGCTACGCCAAATGGATCACATTTCCCCTACCAGCTGATTAAACAGCCATATCTGCATCCTTCAGTAGGTCCTGAGCCAAACAATGGCAGCAGCCAGGGGGAGATGGGCGAAGCTGGCCCCATGCCTTCTATGGACTTTCCACTATTTAGGCAACCGGGTTGAGACAAAATTAGGATGTTTGGTCAGTGATTTATGATGTTTTTTGGCCTGTGACCTTTTGTCTTTATGAATTTTTCCATGAAGCCAAACTTCACATGGGGTGGTACGGTGGTGCAGTGGTTAGCACTGTCACCTCACAGCAAGAAGGTCTGGGGTTCGAACCTTGGTCTTCCCAGGCCTTTCTGTGTGGAAAGGGACACTTTGACCTGCTGGTTGTGCTGGACGAAAAGTCAGGGGATCACTAGGTCATTAGGGTTTATCCATTGGGCAACATGGATAGCTGTACTAAATTTCATGGCAATCCATCTAATATTTGTTATATATTAATATTTCAGTCTACCAAAGTGGTGGACCGACATTGCCATCCCATCAAGGTTTGGATAGGTAAAAATAAACTTAATTTTGTGTGGGGGTTTTTACTCTTACTTTTACAACCTTTTAGATTAATTGTGCAACTGCATCCTTTCACCAAATCACCAAATTATTTTCTTGGTTTTATTTTAAGAAACTGTGTATTTTTGTAATTTGCAGTTCTCATTAAAGTACCCCAGTTGGTCTGTTTTAGTTGCCTTCAGACATATTAGGAAAGTCTGGAACACTGTGTGACAGCTGGTGATCGAGACAGAAAACATGCACTGCTCTGCTCTGCAAGGGCTTTTGGCAAGCAGCTGCACAGACACCTTTAAGTGTGAAGATGTCAATGCAGCAAAACTTCACTGGAAAACATTAATTTTTAATACATCGCTGTTGATCATAAGTGAGCTCTTATGATCATTCTGAGAAGACACAGACAGATTTATTTCCTAAACATTCCCCTCAAGCTTAAACCAGAGAAATTGCGCTTGCTCGAGCTTTTCCTTTCCTGAGTCTTCTTAGACCATCATGGCCTGCTCTGTTCCAGTTTATACATTCAGTATTGTTAATGTGGCTGATAGCATCAATTGCTAGTCCTTCTTGTTTACTGTTTGTTCCTGTGCTGCGTGTCCTTAAGCGTGTGCTCCTGCTTGTCTTCCCTCAGGCCCAGTGATGAGAGGCACCCAACGGTGACTGCAGACGGCACTGTGGACAACCTGGCCCAGGCTGTGGACATGATCCTTGATCAGAGGCACTGAATACAAGGCAGTGGGCACTGGAAACTCTTCACTTACTGTGACCCTGGGTGATAGAGGCTGGTAGCCAGTAGTATTTTTTATATAGCTCTAAGTGTTGTTTCCAGTGGGAAGGGTGTACGGCAATGAGCTTATTCAAGTAAAATGTCAAAACAGTACAAAACTAAAATATACTCCAAATACTGTCTAACCTGTAACTGTCAGACATGGGAAACACCCACCCATCTGGTGCTCCACATAGTGTAAAACAAACTAGGATGCAATTTGCAGAGCTATTACCCAGGTCTGCAAAAGATAGTTTTGAGTACTTTAGAGCTGCACTGTGCATTTGTCAGTACATGATTGCCATAGATAAGATACCTCAAGATGACACGAATGTGCCTGTAACCAGCTGCTGACTGACAGTTTGAAAGGAAAGGTAGTCCTGTGTGCTCAGACTACTGTTACACAGTCAAATTAATTAAGATGCTATACATGAAGATAGTTAGTAGTCAAACTGGAAATACGCAGTTGGAATGTAGCTGAAGTGCATTTTAACATACACTAATTGATGTAAGTACCCTATTATATATGGGTAATATAGTTGCACAAGCTTATTAAAAAGCAAATTATATTAATAAAGCTATTTTAGTAGTCTCTGAGCTGTTGAAAACAGTAATCTCTCTGCATTTGCTAATTTTTACAACTGCTTATCTTTATTTACTTGTCTGTAAGTCGCCTCTGCTAGGGATTGCCCCGTCACTGTGACATTGTTAATAGCCAATCATAAGCCATAGCGCATTCACTTCAGTGTCTACAGTGAGGTTAAATAAAATGATCGAGGAGGGAAAAAAATGGTTATTGGGCCAGCTGGATCAATGAAGCCTCTGGAAGTGGGGCGAAAAACAAATGATCCTCCATCGCTGGCCTCAAGGTTTCAGTGCGCCAAATAGATTCAACAAGAACAAAAGCCCATTGCCAAGTGATTCATTGAGGTCTTTCTGGTTCACTTCACCATTAGCTGACACAAGCTTGAATGTTATTGGGCAATTAAAGGTAATGAAATGCTACAAAGTATTATGAAACTGTGTCTGAGCTGGTTGTACCACTCCTTTTTCTGATTGGGGAAATAATATTAATGTACACGGCAAAGTACTAGCAGCTGGTACCCAGTTTTCCAACAGCTTACACATTGTTTGACGCAGTGTTTTATCCATTATGTTGCTGCCTGTTGGCCTTGTATGGAGCTATTAAAGTAAATGTATTTGACTACTCTCAAATGAATTCACTTGGCTTTGACTAGGTTTTTTTTTTCCTCCAGTTCATGGGAGTGCAGTAATTCTGAGGGGTGTAGGCCACAGTTTTCAGCAGCTCCTCTCGGTAGGTTCATCATCACTAGGTGTCAGACACAAACAGACACATGCCCCAGAGCTAGCTGGTTTATAACCACACCTCTCTGGCTGCCCCGAGGTCATCCACCCGTTTCACACATGTTGCACATTAGCAGCAGTTTACCTCTGCAGGCTGCCATGATTGTAAACAGTGATATTCCTCCTGGAGTGTAGCGCATTGATTCCGTCACTGCGACTGCAGACTGCGAAGAAAGATTACTTTTCAAATAATAGAGATGACCTCATTTCAGGAGACATGTCTGGTCATGTATGCCCTCACTGACACAGGACAGTCTTGACAGACTTGATACACTAAAATTTTGACTGAGTGAAGGTGTTATTTGCACATCAATTTGTGATCTTTGTACTTTTTTTCTGAATTGTGATCAGCGTTGTTTCTCACTGTTTTACATGACCGCAGTAACCTCTCTGTTGACAATCTTTAAGTGGACTTAATCTCAAGTAAACACTGTTAGTCCTAAAGGGATTAGGCACTTATTTGCTTCAGTCAATCAACAGAATATAATTATGCATTGATTCATTGCTTAAACTAATTGATCAAATAAAAATAAATAAGGTAAAACATTTCAATATGTCCAATAGTTTGGTTTATGAAGTTGCAAAAGTAATTTCCAATGGCTGTATTTTGCATTTTGTATTAATTTGCAAATGTTTGCATGCTAATATGCTAGCTAAACTAAGATGATGGACATGGTAAGCATTATTACTGCTAAACGTCAGCATGTTAGCATTGTGATTGTGAGCATGTTAGCAATGCAAACCATTTGCATTTAGCTCACCTAAGTACAGCACACAGCAGCTAGCTACTGTTTTTCTACTGTCAACTAATCCGTAAAAATAGTTCCAAACTTGCCAGTTCTGCTGTAAATGTCATTCCCTCTGAGTTTAGTTAATTCACAACATAATTCAGCTAGATGTTTATCTTCAAATATTGGCTTCTGGTGTCATACCAGAGCATGATTGACTGTCTACGAGATTATCCCCACCCTTACCTCTCTCCACTCCTTAAACAACCACAGGCCAGTAAGCTCATGATCTCATTTTCATCTTATGCTAACTGACACCTGAGGGACGCAAAGCCCTGCAGAATGTGTCATATGTGAGGAGACAGACACATGCTACATGAAGAGGAGAATGTGGCTCTCAGTTAAATGTGTCCTGCCCAATCTCTAGGATCCAGTGCTCACGTTATTGTGGGAGCCTCATTTGCGCAAAGGTTGCCTTTGTAACCAAATCCAACAAAATTGTGATTTTATTTTAATCTTTTTTAAATGTGTCATTGACGAGATTAATTACTTTAATTGGTTCCTTTTTTGCAATGTTTTAATTCCATTTGTTGGAGTGATTATGAAATGTAATTTAAAATAAAGTAAGACATTTTTAGAAATGAGAGATTGTTCTACATCTTTGCAGAGTATACACACACTGCTGCAGTGTGTTTCTGAGCCAACATTCATATAGGTTTTTATGCCATCTGTTTGGGTTAGGCTCCTCTTACACGGCACGCACACTGCTGCTCATGTAGCACACCTGCATTTAGCCACCTTAACAACTGCCAGCTGTGTGTTACCTTGAGCTTTTATCTCCACTCATTTGGCTCTTCCTGTTTGACAGGAAATGGCGGGTCAGCTGACCAGACAACGCCACACACCTGCAGCCCCAAATGCACCGTTATCCATGGAAACATGCACTTGTTTTGACAGCAGTCAGTTATTTATTCCCTCCCTTCTATGTGTGGAGCATTGGTCCATGTGGAGGCCCCTTGGCCTTACACGCCAAGGCACGTGCTTTCCCCACATTTCATCACTCTCCTTCCCTTGTGGGCAGCCATGCCAACAGCACTTGCTGGCGTGGGAGGGCTCTGAAATTACTGGAGTCGTCGGGTTTGGAGCGGAGGCCTGAATTTCCTCCGTCTCCTGGCTGCCCCCCGACCCCACCCCATTCTACCCTCAGAGTCTATGCAAGCAATCTGAGAAGTGTCTCAGTTCACACACAGAGCAGTCTGTACTCTGCTAACATGGTCACAGCCGTCACAGGCCTCTCTAGGAACATGACCCCTGATCAACTGCCCAAAAAAAAGCCTCAGAGGCATGGCTTTCCAGACACTAAGCATGACTCTGTGATGTCATACCACAGCGTGTTCGTATGTATGATCCATGCGAAAGGGTATGCCACCACGCAGTGTAAACTAACTGTCCTTATCTGCAAAAGGTCTGAAGGCTTACAGCTGAATTTTAAAGCAATCTCTGCTGGGGCCTGCTCCTGTGAAGGGGTCCGGTTACCTTTTGTAAAAGCCAAACCTTTCAGTTTGAGTGGTCATACCTTAGATCCTACAATCCTCTTGCTGATGGGACACCTTTAACACTCATTCAACTATTATGTGACCTTGATACAACTCTTACATGCAAGTGCCAATTATTGCTGCTGGTTTTTGTTTTGGTCTTGCATGAATCCAGCAAAGGGTGAGATCCAATACGACAACAACCTTCACATGCAACAGTGTTTTTGTTCAGACATCATACAGAGTGAACTGTCAAGTTTATCCTACGTTTTTTCTTTTTTATTAGAAAAGCTTCAGACAACACTAGCTCGACTGGAAATGTTTTGTGGCCGGGTGCTACTGCTAAATTGTTTTTCACCCTGACCACATTTGAGCTGCCAAGTGTGGGTAGGCACTAACCCCAGAACTAGTGCCAGCATTTAGTTTCATGTCATATACTTTTGTGTGTTTTTCACTACTGAAAAAGATTCATTCAGTTTGCTATGTTTTTGGGGGGGCTGGAAATTCTCTCACAAACTTCTTGCCAGAATGTTTTAATAAAATGATGTGTGCTTTATAAAGACCAATAACAGTGTCACCTAAACATGGTCTCAATAATGGAGTGTTGACATTAAATCCAGAGAACTCCAGGTAATTTTAGAATTATTAGAATTGAATAAAACATCGTCATTACAGGAAAGCAGACAAATGTTGCACCTGAAACATCTGACACAAAACTCCCATGAGTACTGTGGCGCATTTGTTGCCTGAAAACCTTAGCTAAAAACTGAATGAAGTGTGATGGGACTCATCCTCAATGCAGCTCACACTGCATGACCCCGCCACCCTGTTGTGTCGGTGGGGGTTTGTGGACGAGTGTAGTGCAGAACATCGGCATGACCCACCCCTCCTGTTGTATTCCTATCTTCTCTCAGAACACAGTCTCCTTTCACTTCTGTCACTCCACTGATTAAATGCCGGGGGCCCTCAGTGTGTGTCAATCTATCACACAGCACTTTTACAAGGGTTCTGTTTACTCATTTCCTTCTCGACTCATTACCCCGAAAAAGGCTTACCCAGTGCAAAGTAGCAGCTTGCATGTACCACAGGCAGCTCTGACAGTGTAAATATGACCTCACTATGCAAGCATATAGATTCTCATGCAACAGCATAAT